CGCCGTGGGTGCTGCGCTCCCGCCGTGGGTGCTGCACTCCCGCCGTGGGTGCTGCACTCCCGCCGTGGGTGCTGCGCTCCCGCCGTGGGTGCTGCGCTCCCGCCGTGGGCGCTGCACTCCCGCCGTGGGTGCTGCGCTCCCGACGTGGGTGCTGCGCTCTCGCCGTGGGTGCACAGAGCAGTGAGGAACGAGGGAGAAGCCTTGGGACACACGATCCCTTGCCCGTTGTGCCCTCTCCTGGCTCCATTAACTGGTCTCATAAACCTACCCTTAAGGAAGGCAATCTCCATAAAACCTTATGTGAGCAGCTCTTCCCTGTGCGTGTCCCACCGGGTCCCCAGCTGCAGCACGATGGTTGCAGAGCTCACGGTCCTGCTTGCTCAGTTCCCCCACACCTTCCACGCCTCTGTGGCCCTCTCGATTCGGTTATTTTAGCCGTTGGTGTCAAAGGAAAGCAGTGCGAAACGCAGGAATGCGGGCTGAAACGGGGAACGCCACAGCAGAGCACGAAGCCGCCGGGCCGCGGCTGCCAGGCCGGGGCGAGCACGTGGCGGCACCGCCATCCATGCACTGCTCTTCTTCTGCCCTGTGCCATCACAGCCCTACCCAACCTCCGGCATCTTCAACTCCACATAATGGAAACTGGAGAACTCCACGGAGGAGTTTCCAGATGCTCCTTCACTAACGACAGCGCTCTCTTCCCTCCTGATGTTGCTCCAGAAAACGTTAATGCCAGAAAGCAACATCCACACGCAGGCAGCGCCGAAGACTGTACGGCCTCCAAAGACTGTCTGCACACAACTGCCTTACTAATACACCTACCCTGGTGCAAACCAGAACGGGAGCCGCTTGCCAGGGTTCTGCAGGACAGGCAGCTGCAGCAGCTCCGCGACAGCTTCTCCAGGGCGCAGGCCTCGCTGCCCGCGCTCAGCAAGGCCCAGAAGGTCCCTCCTGCAGAACGGGCTCCTGCAGAAGAGATTTCCTGACTGCCTTTAAAGCCTTTTATGCAGTGCAAAATGAACACCGGCCAAACAGAGGCTTTCCTTGAGGATGCCGGGCACTTAACTGACACTTTCACCCCCGTCTTTTTGCTCTTTGAGATCTTCTGTGTTGCTTCAATGCTGACATCTTCTCTTTTGCTCCCCTGAAAGGTGGCTGCAGCATCCTTCTCTTTGCCTGTGCTTCTCCATTTTTTCCTGTCCCCCTTGCAGCCACCTGCATTGCCAGCCGCCTATTTTAAGAGTATTCAAAATGCTACAAACGCCGAACGTTTCTTGCCCTTGGGGGGTAGCAGGAAGACAGCAGGTAAAGGCCATGCTTCAGTGCCACAGCTCGGGATAAAGCAGAAGGGAAGCTGATAGGAGACACCGCTGATGATTTTAAATGGTTAATGAGCTAGGAAAAAGGGTGCAAAAATTCCTTTCTTGAAGCATTCAGACTTGCCTCTGGTGGATAATGTTGTCATACAGAAACCTCACGGGCTGGACGTGGCCCAGCCCTGTTTCCATGCCACTGATGATGTGTCTGCTGCTTATTTTGTCCTTTTCCCCTCCTTTTCAGTTTGGCTGCTTGAGCACTATTTTCAGCTATCGGAAATGACACTAAAATTTAACGCTGAAGTTCTTCTTTTAGCTGAGGTTTGACGGGAAATAAAAGAGCAGACAAGACAGCTCAGAAACCCTTTAGGCATTTGCAGCATCCCCAAAACATTTGGTTTCCATCTTCGGCTGCAAATTACAGACAAGACGGATGTGTTTTAAACAAAAAAAGGTCTGTTTGACTTCACTCTTGCAGAAATGCTAATACTGAACCACTGTCAACTGTGTGAATCGAGAAGGGCACAGCCAGGGAAGTGAATTTCCCGAAGAATACTGAGATCCTGGCAATTAATTCATAAAAAAAAAAAAAAAAAAAAAAAAAGGAGTTGAATCATTTTTCCCCTGTGTTGCTGTTTAGCAAGAATACTGAGCCTTGGAGTTTTGCCTGAAATCCCTGCAGATAAAGTGTTATTTTACTTTATTCAGCAGGCAGATGTCTGCAGGAAGAGACAGCATACTACTTAGGTGTGCTCTTTTCTTTTAACATTTCACATTCAGATTGTTTCTAAACATACTAAATAATAATTCGTTAGTGTGTGCGATCAAAGACTACAGCTTCCTGGAACCGCCAAAATTTTGTTTTCTAAGGCATTTAATCTATTTATACATTTCAAATATCTTGCAACAGCCTAGTCGATAAAAAAAAAATGCATTGCTCTGTTTATCAGTTATCTAAAAACACTAGAAATAGGTCCTTTTGTAAAAGATACTCTCCTATATTCTCCAAGCACTAGTTCAAACTAATTTTCCTACAGAAAATTTAGCAGAGCTTATATTTTCTCTAATTCTGAGTAATACAAGCTGTATGTGTGTTTGTGTGTATGTGTGTATATATATAAGTTTTCATTATGTGTTTTGGGGTATGCTGCCTACTTTCTCCAGGTTCTCAGAGGCTACTGAGGCAGGAACTGGGCTCATGACTTCCTAGGAGACCCCAAGTCTCAGCAAAAGGCTAAAGCAACAGGGAGGCACTTAAGTTGTACGGCTTATTTTAACATTCTTACTTGCATGTAAATGTATAAAACCTTCTAAGTTCACACGGCTTTATGCCACTGGGCCCTCAGAAAACAAAATAGTGATTTTATCAGCATAATACATCATATTTTGACTTAATACGCTTGTGGAAATCGCTTGTAAAGTTTCTTTAAAGTTACTTTAACAATATTTTAAAAACTATTTTACAGAATTGATGCAGCCACATCATAGAGCCTCCATTTGCAGTACAAGATTAGACTCTATTCATAGATTTGAAGCAAGGACGACTGCTGTCGATAAATGAGCTGAAAATATAACTTTGGTTAAGAGGGTCTTCTGAGGGTGAGACAGGAAAGTATTTTATTGTTTTTCAGGACTGGAAATGATGAGGCAACAACTATTTACAGCCTTTGCTCATACGGGAATTTTGAGTCCTTGGCAAGAGCTGAAGATTAGTCACCAAATACCTGTAGTATTTTTGAGGAAAAGCCTAACACCGAGTTTAACTAGCCTGATTTGGTGGTATTATTTTAGAAAAAGAAAAAGCTAAAGAAAAACTGCTATGAATCACCTATGAATCACCTACTGCAAATGCTATGAATGGAGGCTCCTTCTCTGGAGATCTCCCAACCCGCCTGGATGCGCCCGGGTGCCCCTGCTCCGGGTGTCCCTGCTGGAGCAGGGGTGGGACTGGATGATCCCTACGGGTCCCTTCCAACCTCAGCCATTCTGGGATTCTGTCAATTTACTTCCCAAAACTCAAGCAGCTTAAGCCTTTGGCTCATCTTTGCAAGGCTAGGATGCTTTTATCTCTTTCGCAGCCTTTTGCTGCTGCCCTGCTATGCGGCACCGGGAGCACGTTGAGGCTTCATTTCTGATCAAGCCCAAACAAGTAGAAAAAGCATCTTAATCACTCCAAATAACACTAATTTCACCTGAAATCAGCTCTCTAAAAAATAGGCTTCTGAGTTATTTGAGGATGACGGAAGTCACTTTCTGAATCTATTTATGATTGTTGCTAATTGAGAACGCCTCTGATGCCAAATGTTAAATAGATTAGGGTGGATTATCCTATGCAGGACACTCAGAGTGAGGCTGTGGCTCCATTTTAGCAGTTGTTTTCTGCATTTGGTACACAGGTTTGCTAAATGCACCGAGTATTCGGTATTCAGTGGGTTAATGGTCACCGTAATATTTCAATATCAACCTAAAGCATACTGGAATATGTATAATTATAATCTTGACAGAAGCAAAATAATATCGTGGCCTACAACACTGCCAAAGCAAACGTTATGCAGAGGTCAACGGGAAGGAATGTCGAGATCCCGGTTAATCAGAACCACACTGTCAGGGAAGTCGGGAATTAGGGTTGCTCCTTGCTCAAAGAGAAGTAAGCTCAAAGTAAGAAGTAAGAGAAGTAAGATCTTATTTTTCCCTTGCCCTTTTTATCCTCTCTGCAGTGATGTCTTCAAATTTTTTGTGTTGGCTACAAAGGATGTGAAGTTTTGAAGTCACCTGCAGACATCAAGCCTGCTTGAGCGGGAAGGCTGGACTAGATGATCTCTAGAGGTCCCCTCCAACCTTGAATATTGTGTGATTCTGTGATCAGCAGCAAGCGTAACCCAAAGCTAGAGACTCGCTCTGGTTTAATATCAATTTTCATTTTGTCTTGGCTCATTATAAGAAAAGAAATAATACTCCAAGTGGTGAATACTGCCAACGAGACAGCATAGCTTGTTGGCTGCTCTACCTGCCAGAAAGCATCAGCAGAGTCTCCATCTCTTCCACCAGCAACTTACCTCCTAATCCTTATAACCGTACAGACAGGACAGGGTCCTGGATGCTTGCAGCCTAGAGCAGCTCCCAAATTGTTCTGCAAAATACTAACTAAAAAGTCCTCAGCGAACCCCTAAAGCCAAGTGCGCACGCAGCCGCTCGGCCGAGGCGACTCGGTGTCCTCGAGGCCCACACGTCTCGTGTCCTGTCTCCAGGCGGGCGCCCCTCGCTGCGCAGCGCGTGGGAAGGCGGGTGCTGCACCACGGAGCGGGGATTCGGGTGTCGCTCCCTTCCCGGGGGCGAGCTGCCTCTTTCTGTTCAGCAATTTCCACCGCGGAGTCACACGTTTCTTTTCTTCTCTTTGTACACGCGTGTGGTCTGGGGGCTGCTCCATTAATCAGGTTTATGTAGAGATTTGTCATTATGCCTTCCCACACCCGTATTTTTAAGGAAAGAAAACACATTTGGTAATAAAATGCATGTTATGTGACTGTTTATACGAAACAGCCATCCGAAATGAGCCCTAAAGCCTTTATCTAACAAAAAAAGTTATTAGACGAAAGACTCTGTTATAAAAGTAAGGCATTTAAACTCTCCAACTAAATTCTCCTGAGAAAAAGCGGTCATTGCCAAACACAACTTCCACATTTGCAAATAAATTAATTGCAAGTGGAATTAGATATCCATGTGCAATCGTTTCTCCTTGCCTCTGCCCTCTTCGCACTCCTTTTTCTTTCACGGCTCCAGCTTTTCCACAGGGAGTTACGATACACACCAGGCTGCTCAGCATTTCATAAGGAGTCCTCTCAGACCCACCTAGGGCTTGGGCAAACATTTCCAATTTAGTTTCATCTAGTTCTTCTTTGGACCTAAGACAGTGTACAAGAACCTGACTATATCACGTAACAAGACACAAGGAGGCATGGGAACAAGAAGAAAATGCTTTTACAGCACTTTTACCCAATCTGAATAGCTCACCTTTTTCTGGTTCGTGGGTGACAAGCTTCTGTAGAGCTTCTTGCCCTGTTTGCCAGCATTCCAGATGGTGAATGATGTCCAGCAGGAGAGGACTCGGTCTTCAAGAAACCTGACTCGGTGATTCCAGATGGTTTCCCTGGACAAGGAGAAAAATGGTGGAGGTTTTGGCGGAGGTTTTCAAACAGAAATCAATAGGATAGATTCAAAGTTGTAGTTGAACTATTGTTTCCAGGAAGCATTATAGAAAATCACATCAACACGAACAGCTGCAGTTGTGGAAATCAAGTTCAACAGCGGCAGGTCCAGCTGTCCACCACTGTCCCACCTATCTGTAACCAGCACGCGACTCGCTCTGTAATTTGCAATAGATGCTGGCAAGGCAGCTCCCAAACCCAGGACGTGCTCTTCCATCCATTCATCCTCCTTTTTTGATGAAAATTTGAAGCATCAAATTTATACGCTATCCATGCAGAAATGCCAAAGCTAGAACGAAGGTCAGTTCATTCCATCTTCACCAAGTCCCTTCTCAAAGCTCAGATTCAATGGACAACTGTACAGGAACCCAGAAGCACTGACAGAACAGTCAGAGCTTACACACGACTGAGCCCTTGTGACTGTGCATACCTACACACGAGAAACAAAATTAAAGACAGGGATTTAATTCCAAAGTCTCCAAAGTGTTAGTCAACACCGATACAAATAAATGACCCTGCCTTTTACTTTGAAGACAATCTTTATAAGAAATAGCATTGCTAGACACAGTAGAGCAGTGAAACAAATCACTAAATTCACCTCCGGTTTTCTACATCTTTGGAAGCAGCTCTTTTTCTTACCAATATACTTCAGGTTTAAGCCTGACTCTATTTAAGTACCTACGCATCCTACAGACCAAAATACTCAGAATCTATTAATCTCTCTGCTTCAAATCATAGTCCACCAGTCAGCAAAGTTGCCTCGGGACAGTCACAGTGGTGCCAACCTCAGGTGCTCATCTGACCAACCGCCAACCTTCTCCTGTCCAAGTGCGGCCTGTCATTTTGTAGAAAAATCAATTTTCTTCCGAGAGTCCTTGACATAATGCGGCTCAACTGTCCAAGAAGAACGGGCGGGAAAACAGTCAGGACTAGGAACGGTTCTGTTAAGTTTTTATAAAACTTAATGCAAGGAACTTTGTGTTATTTGCGTTGTGGGTTGAGTTATGGGTTGAGAAATACGAAGCCATCACTGCATTGAGAAATATGAATTCCTGCTGTGATTATTAGCTAGCTCCAGAGACCCGAACCTCACTTTAGCCTGAGATTTTAGCACAGCCCAGTCCTTATATGGCTGCTTAGCACTTCATCACCACGCGGGGTGTGATAACTTGGAGAGAGCCTCACATGTGAACAAATGCACCCAAGCAGAGCTACACCATATAAAGTTTAAGCAGTGTTTTGAAGACGATAGTGTTGAACACCAGCACTTCTACTAATGGGAAAAAAAAATATCTTGGATTTGACTGCAAATCTTCTCTAATGAAAGCACAAGCTGCATCTCTGCTGCAAAACTTGGGCTACGCTGGCATCCTTTGACACTCACCTGCTGGTTCGTTGCAGCTCACCCTATTCCCAGAAGCAAAGAAGTATGAAAGCCAAGTATTTTTCCAGGACCACATGCCTACAAATTCAAGAGCTTCTGCTAGCTTCTATAAAGGAAGACCAGTACTTTACACATCAATGGAAAGTTTTTAAAGCTGGTTTTGCTCTGAAATGTGACTTCAGAACAGTGCTGCATTATATTGCACAGGCACGTCTCAAGACTTCAGAATCTGTTAACTTGAGTGACACTGACACGGTTTTCCTCACAAGTCTGCAAAGGCAGGAAAGCCTAAGGAAGAATTAGGCAGCTTCACAAGCCATAAAGAGAATTATTCACTGACTTCTAGTGATGGGGAGACCTGCAAATACTGCTAATACAGGAGGGCTGAGCCAGGTTCACAGGGCCATGAGCAGTAGAGCAATGATCAGAAAGAGCCCAGCAGGACTCACTTTTCTAAACATTATGTCAAGTTAATAAGGAAGAACGGTTATAGATCAACATGTATTTTTTAAACTGCATCAAAGTTACAAGGCTGTGGTGACTGCCCAGAAAATCTGCAGCTGTCATGATGCTGTGATGACGTTTTTAATAACCCACCGCTCGGACATAAGCCAATCACGTACATCTCAAAGCTGAGAACTATTTTTTATGCTTCAGAGTCTTCGTAGACTAGAAGTAAGTTGCGCTGTGATGCAACATCTGTCCATCAATTGTTTTCCAAAATTAAAAGACATGAAACTCATTAAACCCAAGAGTGATTGGATCCCTGACTGAATACAAGAATATTGCTAGACTGACTTCATTTAAGTATCAATAAATGCCTTTTTTAAGTGAAGCCAACATAAACAGCAGTTTTGATTCATTACTCAAATGGCCAAATACAAAATTCATAAGATTCAAATGTGTCTGCTATCATCCTAAACAGAAAATGCTTCCAGGAAAGAACTTCAGAAGTGCTTCCCCAGCCCCCCGTGCCCGTTTGGATGAATTTTTAAGCTGTATCAGACACACTGAGGTTTGGAGGGGCAACCTGAGACTCCCCTGGCAGCTTCAGGCCGGGACCATGGGGCAGACGGGGCTGAGGGGGGTCCCGGTGACCGAGCTAAGCCGGCGCGAGCCCTGCAGGCTCCATCACTGCACAGACTTGCCCTGCAAAGCCCGGCTCACGTGCCGAGGCCGAGCGCCGCGTACGGAGCGGCAGGATTGCAGTTCCCCCCTCCAGGCTTCCGCTTCACCTCAGGTGCCGCCTCTTGGGACCTTTCCAGAGGAGCTACCTGGGATTCCTGCCTGGAGGCACGAGGGAAGGCCATTTTCCCATCCTTTAGGAGCCAGTGCAGGTGCAAAAGCTGGGAACTGCAGCAACGTGCACAGGATGATTAAAGAAGGTGCCCGAAACAATCTCGGGGTGGAACGAGCTGTTTCTCATCAAAGCTTCCCACAGTTGTGTTCAGATTTCACGTTATTACATATTCACAGCCAGGAGCAAGGTATCAGCACCCTGCGCTACCCCAAAGCCAGGCTGCTTTTCCCCCATCGTGTCTGACAGGAGCAAAGCTGGACTTTCCCCGCAGCCTTTGGTGTCCTTTCCTGGCTCCGTGAGTGAGACTCTTCCTGCAGCCAGAAGCTGGGATGGCAGCCCGAGCTGTGGACCTTGATTCCCGCCTCCCAGTCCTACTCCTTGAGCCAAGCTCTTGACGGAGGCTGGTTCCCCCTTTCATTTTCTTGTCGCCTTCTCACTTTCCAAAGGGCGTGTGAGAAATGAACATTTGTTCCTTTCGGAAAGATCACTCCTCTGTGTCTCAGAGATGTCCCGGGCCCTCTTTTGCCGTGGCCCCTCTGGGCTCCTCAGTCATGCAGCATCTGGAAGGAAGACAAGGAGTGAACGAGGGCATTCATGCCGCAGGAGGGACGGCTCCGGAGGCTGTTCCTCAGCCTGGGCCACCCCGGCCTTCCAAAAACCGCAACAACGGCGCTCTGTTCCAGCGCGACGCCGGAGCCCAGGAACAGCTGCCCTGCTCCTACTTGGAGAGTAGGAGTACAGATAACGTGACAAGAAAAGCTGGATGATTTAATGCCCGTGCTCCGTTAAGCTCTGTGCTGCGGGGCTCCCCCTTTCCCGTCCTTCCCTGCCGCGAAGCCGCCGGTTCCGATCTGCAGCCCAGTGATAGATGCCCAGCAAAGACCTGGAAAATGCAGAACCACAAACCCAAATTCTGAAGCAGGACTGCAACTGTCGCCACCAATGCCTGCCCACGCTAACGTTATCCATCCATCCATCCATCCATCCATCCGCCCTCTTCCCCGCGCACTGCTGCCGCATGCCACAGGTGGCAATGCAAGCCGAGCTCTTCCAGCTCCTCCTATTAAATCACAACAGGATAATCCAGACTTACATTAGAGGTGAATACCCATAAGGAACTTTTAACGGCAAAGGGAGATATTAAAAACAATCGCAGGATTTTTTTCTAGTTATTTTGCAGGCAGGACCCAGGGTGCTTAGGATCCACAGCAAATTGAGACACGAATCTCATGTGAACCTTGACCACGGTGGTAAATAAACTGATTTCTTTTCTTCTTTTCAGAGTTGCTGTTCTGTTGAACTTCACGTGAACTTATTAATTGCTGGACTATATCGTCCCGCCGAGTTATTACATTTACACTGTTAATAGGTTCTATTAATGTCCAAGTTCACGTTGGGGCCGTGGGTCATTAGCTGAGGCACGGTTCGCAGCGCCGTGGCCTATTTCTCATGAAAGGCTTATTAAGAGAGACAGAGACTATCACTGCTGCTGCCATTTGCTTCTCAAGAACCTAATGAGGTCATTAGTTTCTGTGTTTAATTGACGCGGCAAATGCAGGCAGGGAAGATGAAGAATGCGTTCGACCTCCCCGCTGCACAGCCAAAGGGAGACGTGTCGCATGTTCCTCTCCCTGTTCATTCTCGGATGCTGTTTTTTGCAGGAAGGGAGCCGGTGTTGCCGGGCTCACCGGCAACAGGAGCGCGGGGTCCCAGGCTCCGCCGAGACCGCCAGCTCCCGGTGCACAAGACGCCTCTTCTCCTTTGCTGAGAAGACACTGGAAGCTCCTAGGGCCTGGAAGCAGATGGTTGCAATAGATTATGCAATTTTGGTTATTTCTGCAGATGAGGCGCTTACAGTACTGTATTTGTTCTGAGCACGCAGCCTGTGAGATTACTGCACGCCTCACATGCGCTGAGGAAGACAGAACTGTCTGAATCCCAGAGGAAATGTGTATTTTTTTCATCCTTATATTCTACATACATTAAACGTCTCCAAAGTTTTGCAAATTGTTGCAAAGCTTGGTGTCCTGCGCAGCTGCCTGCACAAGCAGCAGTACCCAAAGACAAACGTAGCTTTTTATTGCTCATCTCAAATCATGCCGACTTTCATCTCACAATGCAGTACATTGTTTTATACACAGCTCCTTTCTTCCCTCCTTTGGCGAGATAAAAATCTACGATTTTTACAATGTTTTTATTATACCCTGAACTTTCTTACGACAATATTTCTCACTATAAAGTCAGCTCTGATATTGTATCAGATCAGTGTAACACAAAGTACACACAGCCCCAGGACACAGGCTGTAACGCAAGAGAAAATGATTTAGATGCAAGAGATACCGTGTGGGGGATCGGGGGCTGTAAACTGCAGAGGAGGTTCTCGAAACCAGCATCACACACCCCCATTTAGCATGAATCACAGACGTCATATAAAACCACTCTGAGAACATTTATATAAAATGACACTGAGAACATTTATATATCTGTATGCGCCTAATAAATCTAAATATAGGCTGTGCTTCACTCGGACTCCATCCCATGCTCCCAACATTTAATAATGCAGCCCAATGCCTCCAGGGCAAGGGAGGAGGCAAAGAAGTTCTTGTTTCCTGTTTCACAGATACTTTCACCTCTAGGTAGTTGTTCCAGAAGGATGGTAATCAGAGCCAGTGATTTAAAAAAAAATCATTAACGTTCACAGTTATATATCAGCAAATGTAAAGAACTCAGGGCTGCTTGCCAAATGTATTTTTTAAATGTATTTCAACAAGTCTGAAAATGCGAAAGCAAGAGTCAATTGTCAAGTCCTATTATCCAGCTTATGGAAAACTTATTTCACTTTTTGAGACTGAAATTAGTCAGAAACTTAAAAAAAAAAAAAAAAAGTGAAAAGAAACAGCTTTGCTGTAAGCATCCCCTTGCTCTGAGCCAAGACACTAACCTGGTTGGTGGTTTATTATTCTCGGGGCCAGGTCTAGACTAATTCAAAGAACTGGAGAACAACGTAAATTCAAAGACCAATGTCCGAAGGAAAAACATCACCGAAAACTGGCCAAACAAACCACAGAGAAGCCCAGAAGTGTTGAGGTTGGAAGGGACCCCTAGAGACCATCTGGCCCAGCCCCTGCTCCAGCAAGGACACCCAGAGCAGGGGACACCTGGTCGCGATGCACCAAAAGGCACCGAGCAAAGGAACGACGCACGTCAAAGAAGCCGGGCACCCACAAGGTGCCCAGGAGGGACCCACGTGGCACGTGGCGAGGGCCCCTCGGCCTCCCTTTGCTCTGGGCAGGCCCGGCGCCCCACAGCCCGGCAGCCCTGCGTCTGCAGCCGCTCACAGCCCTTCCACCTTCCTGCCGGGTGCTCCCGCTCAGGGCCCTTGTGCCCCACAACCCTCCACACGTGGATCAGCAGCAGTCTGCAGTCCGTTCACAACAAGCTCCTTTCCAAGAACGGAAAGCTTTCCCACAAACGCGACGTTCCAGGCGCTCCAGCATGCCGGGATGCCTGGCTGAGGAGCGAGCAACCAAGTGCCAAAAGCATCACGCACAGAAACAGGAAAAAGGACTATTTAAACACCAATAAAAGAAAGATAATGCACGTCGTATTTGTTTATAAAATCCAAAGAGCGTCTTCTCCTGGCTTCAGACCCATGTTTCAGAGTGGAATGACTTTATGTATGTATATGTACATATACACCCACACATCTACACACAAATACACTATATATATATGTAGAGCTACATGTAGATATGTATAGCTACATATAGATCTTTATATATATATAAAAAAAATAAAAATACAAATATAAGAGCTCTATAGTGATATTAACCCTGACTATGATTAGCTTATTAGCTTAACTCTTGTATTACACTATTTGAATAACACAATATTACAGTAACTTAGAACTGAGTAAATAAGAATATTATTAGTTTTACTACTTTACAATTAGTTTACTAATTTACTAGTTTTTATTAGTTTATGAGCAGGACTGATTATATTTGTTTCATTAATAAGAAAATGATTTACTAATTACCACTGTTGTTCTGGTGCAAGAACTCTAAATGGACACTATGACTTACACAAGTTTTCATTCATTTTTCAAACACCCGGGAAGAGAATGAATCATTTTTATTAGTATGACAGGGGCTCAGCTTGCAGGACTTGTGGTCAGGAAAAGCATCTTAGATGGCAAAGATGAGCAGAGGAATCACCTATTAGCGATTTAACAACACTTTATTTTAGGGTAAAGGAGTGCTGCAAAGGCAGCAGGCAATGATTTGCACAGAAGTGCCTCACATAATTACTCCTAAACATCCACAGGTATTTTTCAGACCTCACTATCTGATTTGGATGATTTGTATTTTCTTTGCCTGTTTTGAAAGGATTATGTGTGGCAAATTATCAGATGCGCGGTTTAGTTTTTACTAATTTTCCTAAAGTAGGCTTTTGTTGGTATTACCAAAGGGTCTGTTTTCTTTTAAACTCAGATAGCTCTTTTTGAAATTAAACTGTAACATTAATAAATAATTCTCTTATGTTCCACACAGCATGAAAGCATGTTGAGCAAAACCTCATATATTAAAAGCCTCCTAATACAGATATCTCCACACAACTTCACCACTGGGCTACGTTTCACGCAGGCTCCAGCAGCTGCCTCAAGAAGCTGCTGCTTCACTGCTGGCCGCTGCCGTGCCCAGCACACAGGATAAGGAGCCGTACCAAGCGTTTCCATCTGCTGCAAGCTAAAGCTGAGGGAGCTTTAACTAACCAGAGGGATAACCAAGCAGACTAGGAGATCTCGTGTGCTCAGCTACAGCATTTTGAGTTGCAAAGACCCAACAGCTTCTCAGTGCCTCTCAGCCCCGCTGTGTGGGTGCACGTGCACCTCTATTACCACGGGACTCGACAAGCAGAGCAAGCGGTGCTGGCCGTGCTATGATGTGTTACTTTGGCTTGATCAGGAGGGAAATACCTTCGACAACATCAGCTCTGTTCTTTGGGCATCCTGCAAGGCTCTGAGCAGAGAGGCAAGACAAATCCACGCGTTACAGGGGAAAAGAGAACACATCTCCAAAACAGGCTGCTACCAGCAGCCAGTACACTTACTGGTTTGCTTTTCCTTTGAAAAAACAAAAACAACAACAAAAAACATAACTAGGTATTCTACTGCCTGAAATATCTGGAAAAGAGATGAAGCATCTCAACTTCGCAACTGCCAGTCCTTCCAGGTGAAGCTAATCTTTGTGCTTACTGTAAAAGACGCAGCTTACTCTAGCACGGAATGAGTTGCGGCCTGGGGGTGGTAACGGTAGAGCAGGAGGCACTGGTCGACGCGGAAGACGTCACCGCCCTTCTCGATATGCTTATAAAAGAACAGCAAATCCTCCGGAACGCCCTGCAAGAGAAGCAGATATTTCAAGGCACGAAGTGACTACTACTCCTAGGACGTCAGGCTGCACTGAGTTAGCGTTTCACTGCGCTGCCGACAAAGGTTTAACATCATTTTATTCAAATTCTTTGGACGTCAGGCCATGCCATGAACTTACCCCCGGGTTGTTATATATCTATAGAAAAGATAAAGCTAATAAAAAAAGCAGGCGGGGCTGTTGGAAAAGGAAGTAGAGCTGAGCACAAGGACAGAGGTGAAGAAATAAACATCATCGCATTCTGACAGGGTTATAAGGCTTGACACAGGTTTGGTCTAAAACACATAAATCCAACTGCTTAACAGTTTATAAGGCCTAAAATGCCCAAGTAACCCAACGCTTTCCTGAAGGGAAGCAGTGATTTGAGAACAGTGACGTCTTTTGCTTTAATAGAATTTGTGCTCTTTGGTTGCCATACAGAAGCACACATCAGTCTTCCAAAATAAGATATATGAACCTTAATAAAAAGCCTCAGAATAATTCAAGCTCTATGAATAAAACTTTTTTTCCTTGCCGCGTACTTCTATGCGGCATTCTTCCTCGTGGTAAGCTCTAGGAAACATTAGAAATCTCAGGAGTATATGGAAACATTTCCAGTCTAAGTCCTGAATCATCTGGACAGAGATGCAGTGCCAGAAACCACTCCTATGGCATACAGTATTCAACTGCCTGTCATGCATACCAAAGCAAAAACCCACCTTTACGGGTCCTGCCCTTCCTGAAGGTGAAAAGCACCACCTGTATACATTTTACAGTGCACCAAATTCTTGAAAAATTAAAATGTGGCCACAACAGTCCGTTTTCAAATGTTTAAATATAGATTCTTTTTCAAACCTACTGTTTAAAAAGTCACATGAATTCATCAGGCTAAAAATCTTTGGTATGAGAACTCAGGAGTGCCAACTGAAATACTTAAAAGCATCAATAAAAAGCTGAAACGTAAAAACTAATTTAAAAGTATATACGCCTGAGAGGCAAAGGTAAAGGAAGAGCAAGTCAGGGAAATACATTTCCTTCTGCGGGCAATATCACCTACATGAATGTGAACAGAGGCATAAACCTCAACTTCATCTGTAGGTCGTCTATTTTGACACAGAAAGACAATGAAAGTACAAGCTAAATTAAAACTCACCCACCCAACAACACTTGAATATTTTCCGTATTACAACTTCTGAGTGTTTTCCATAATTAAGAAAAGGAGATTCTCTAATTGAAGCAGCAGACACAAAACCATTGTGTGGTTTCTTCTAGTCACATCTAGAGCAGGTCAGCTCAGGGTCTGGTTTTCAGACCCGCCCGCCGCTCAGCTCAGACACAGTCAGCACTGAAGCAGCCGGAGGGGAGCGCTGGGAAAAGCCAAAAAGCTTTGAACCTGGCAAAAAGTTCCAAGCAATTGAACATACAGATTTTGGAGGAAATCAGAAGCAAATCGAGCTCTGGACTTTGCAGCTCCACACTTCACTTCATGCAATAGATTGATTTAGGACCCTGAATTTGTCAAAGCTCCCAAATTCTGATACAAAACGGATTCTGATCTGGCTGCTTGGCAAGGGCAGCTTATCTGTAATTAATCTTTCTCTTGGTAGTTACTTGACTGATTTCTACTTCAAGAGCTCTGAGGCAGAGGAAAACTTGTACACAACTATGTAAAATTTATGCTTTATATGAACCTGCTTTGATGGTCACAGAAGGAATCCGGGGGAGCCTGGAGGAGAAGACAGCAACCACGATCAGCAGGAGAACAAAAGAAAACCACGTAAACCCAAATTCTTTCCATTTATCGTGCAGCCATTTCTATTCTTTGCTTATTCCCAACGTCAATGGAAAGGCCCAGAGTGAAGAGCTGAGTTTAAACCTTAAGTCTGTTTAAACCTTAAGTCAGTCACATGCTGCCTTAGGCTGACACAAGTTTTATAGCAAGTATCAGCTTACTGCAGGAGCCCAGTTTAGATTTGGAGATATTATATCACATCCTTACTTGCAACTCATTTTATTTCAGCCATGAATTTATATTATCCATCTATGTCATTAAAAGTTAGGGTGAAAACAAAGAGGCACTACAAAAGTGGAGTGATCTGTCACTCCTGTTGTGCTCTCTGGCTTTGCAATAACGTATTTCCGACACCAAGTGTGTTGCGGGCAGGACAGAGCAGGTGCCCGTGGGGCTCAGCAGGTTGGAAGGGACCTCTAGAGATCACCTAGTCCAACCTTCCCACTCAAGCAGGGACTCCCAGAGCATGTGGCACAGGGCGGCATCCAGGTGGGTTTTGGAGACCTCCAGAGAAGGAGACTCCACAGCCTCCCTGGGCAGCCTGTGCCAGGGCTCTGTCACCCTCACAGTAAAGAAGTTCCTCCTCACCTGGAGATGGAACCTCCTGTGTTTCAGTTTATGCCCATTTCCCCTTGTCCGATCACTGGCCACCAATGAGAAAAGCTTGGCCTCCTCTTCCCTACAATCTGCCTTCATGTTAATAAGATCCCCTCTCAGCTTTCTCTTCTCCAAGCTGAACGGGCCCAACTCGCTCAGTTTTTCCTCATACGAGAGATGTTCCATTCCCTTAATCATCATCTTAGTTGCTCTCCACTGGACCCTCTCGAGAAGCTCCACGTCCCTCTTATACTGGGGAGCCCAGAACTGCACACAGTACTCCAGGTGCGGCCTCACCAGAGCTGAGTAGAGGGGCTGGATCCCCTCCCTTAACCTGCTGGCAACGTCCTCCTGATGCAGCCAGGAGCCCATTGGCCTCCTTGGCCACGAGGACACACTGCTGACTCATGGTTGACTTGGTGCCAACCAGGACTCTCGCATTACCCCACGTGGCCCTGCCCGTTCCAGGGCAGGAGAGATGCTGACCGTGCTGCAGATCCCGCCGGGACGGGCCATCCTGCAGCTCTCAGGCCATTAGGGTTGTCTCAAGCGAGCAGGCTGAGCTTCCCTGCAGCACAGATGTGTTATTGGATCCAGATGGCATTCTGAGCACCAGGAATCTCTGCCAAACGCCTGAGCTTTCAAGGGAGAAGCTGTTTAACCACGACAGGGTATTTGGAAGTATTGGGGGAAAATTAATAGCTGCAGTTAAAAATATCAATTAAGAATCCAGTAACTCAGCAACAGGCCACCATATAAATAATTTCCAGCATGAATAATTATAATTTAGTTGCACAATCTACATGTTGCTATGCTACATAAAGACTTTTCCAGATGATATGCAACTGTCTGTGCACGACTGCACCAAGGGCTATGCACTGCCAGAGATGGCAGAAGCAACAAGCTGACTTCTAAAGAGGTGAAGGATTTGTGTCTACCCAGTACTTGGGGCACGTACCCCTTGCCTGACACCCAGCTGTATGGATGAAGGGATGTTTTTGCATTCAGCCTAGTTGAACTATAAGTATTCCTTGGTCAGGGACTAACCCTTAAATATTTGACAATTCCCCTGTCCTCTTACCTCTTCTAAGTGCTCTGGTAGGGTTGGCAGGTCCGTATGGGCAGAGGCAGAGGAGAACTGAGCCTCTGCCAAGCACTCTAGCTGGTGAAAAAGGGCATCTAAGCCTAGAAGTTCTGCACTTCAGTAAGGCAAGCCTCTTCAACGGGAGGTGATGAAAAGCAAGGCAATGAAAGCAAATCTATTTACACATCCAAAAAAAAATCTTAATTGGAGAGAAGTTTACTCACTCACTATCTGACAGATCAGGGAAAGTCAGGCTATTTCTTGGAACACCTTTGATCAGATAAAGACATTACAGTAAATGTTGGGTAGAGTAAGTGAACATTTCTTTCATTCTTCAGAGGAGACGAAAATTCTTGAATAGAACAAATGAACCAAAAAGGAAGTAAGCCTTGTTAAAATTATATTTAATTCTGTAAATTCCATACTAACCTGTTTCTACCAGTAGTTTGCAAATGCCCTGGAAAGTACTTTGTTGCATTGATATTTTTAACTAATACATTTATTGCACATTTTAGGGCATTTCTTAGAAGAACATTTCAATATCTTTTAACAGTTTCATGAAAAGCAGATCGAATGATTCACGTTAAAGCAGTTAAGACAGGAAAATACCAAAGACTACATCAAAAAGAAGGACTGCTAAGTAAGTATCAAAATACTTATATTTCAAAACACATCAACAGCTATCCAACAGTATATCCAGGCGTGTAATTCCCTTTCTCAGTGGCAAAAAATATGCAAAACTCACTGCTAATGGGACTACCAAGCTGCTTTAACCTAAAATAATAAATAATATTTTTTTTTACAAAACAGCTCATCTCCAATTTAAATGCAATGGTGAAAAAAACCAGCAAATGAATTAGTTTACCAAGAATGAACCATCATCCTTCAGTCTTTACAGAAAGACCGGCTTTGTCTCAAATGATACTTTGCTAAGGAACTTCTCACTGAGAGGATTTCAAGCAGAAATTAGCAATTGAAAATGCTCCTCAGTTTCACTTCCTTTAGGATAGTCACCAGAAGTATGCAAGCTAATACCTTATTAAACTTACTAAGCTTATTAAGGCTTGTCTTTTGTATGATCCAAGATGTTCTCTTGTGTCTCTCCTGTGCAGATCTGTGAGGCCATTCGATGGCCCATATCCAACTGAGGGCTTTAAATGATCGTGGTGTGAGTGTAAAACAGCAAGTCTGTGTCAATGCTAAATTTACTTCGCTGTTTAGAAAACCTCTGCAAAATTTCCTTCTTCCAAAAGGATGGTGCACAATAAATTCTAGATGGTATTTAATGCACTAGTGAAAAAAAGACATTAGATGTAGGGGATGGAGTGAGGTTTCATATAGCTTAAGCAATAAATTATCTTTGACTCTACCACTTTCTTTCCTTTTTTGATCAAATACTGATCTCTGCTCAACTTTAGCTATACCAAGCCAAAAATACCAAGGCCTGTGTTTTATCCAGACTTTTCCCCAGAATCCCTTGATAGGTTATTTCACAGACTGACAGTATTTTAATTTGTGTTCCAAAAAAATCCAAATTTCTACTTAGCCTTTTACCTTCCAGGCCTTACTGCAACTGCCTGCCTTTCTGGAGGGAACAACATCTGGGTGCTCCAGCAGCCAAAAGGGGAAAAATGCCTTCATTGATCTCTGCAAGACCACAAAGTTCTCTCCACGCTGGGCAGGACGCAGACACCACCTTCATGTTTACTTTGACCTTTCAGCACAGAAGTAGATCAAAACCAAGTCCCAGCCACTTTGCTCTGAGCCACAGCTTGCATTCGGTGCCTTATAAATATGCTCTTCCACCTGGGCTTCATTAGGAGCAATTCCCCTCTGTTTGTACTTCTAGATTGGGTTAGGACTTGAAGTCATTTGTGCCATTTTTAGTCTGCATACACTAAAAAAAGGAAGGTTAAGGACAGAGGGGAGAGACTGTGGTTTAAAAAAAAAAAAAAAAAAAAGGAAAAAAGAGTGTTGGGGTAACTTGCCCAGCTCCCAGCACACAGCACCGTCTATTGCTGTGCTCGGCTTTAGCAGATGCTGAACTTAACAGTTGACTCAGCTTTGATATCTGCCATCATATTACGGAAGAGCCTGCAAGTCTTATCGGCAGCGTAGCTTTATGTGACCCTTTTGGATGTGGTTCTGACTCTTCAGCAGCAGCAGCACCCATTAGAAGACATCAGGAAGCGTAGGAGCAAATCACACAGATAGGGCGAGTTGGGAAGGGTTTAGCAAAGCCTCACTGCACCTTCTGGAATATGGTTTGGATAACTTTCAGGCAGGTTATTTCCCTTGAGCCTCCAGGAAAAAAATAAGCCAAAAATATAGTTCATGTGACCCTCCTCCTAACAGTGGATGCTATTAAAAATGTGATGCTTTCTATTTGCCTAGCTCAGTTTCAGCACAGCAGGAAGAAATAACTTGTTAAAATCAACTTTTTTCAAGTATTTTAACTTTTTTTTTTAATTAGTGATCCCTTTCATTTTGCTTGATAACAAGCAGCTTCACACTGAAAATATTCCAAACTCGGGCTCATGCATCTACAAAAATTAATCATATGTCCAAAATTGCATAAATAACGTCTGTGGCACTTCATTTAGGCAGCACATAAACCATTCCCGTTCGTGGCTATCATTTCTGCAGAAGCCATTTCAAATTTTGTTTGGATATTGCCACAGTGAAACACACACAGAATAAATTTCCAGTGATTGCAGATCTCGACCTGAAGGAATGTTGCTTGTGAAAACACTTTGTGAACTATTTAAAAAACCTGTTTCTCATAAAGCCTGGAAGGACAGACAGACATGTATACCTGCATCTTATAAAAAAACCCGATTACATCAGAGGTCATATATTTATATTCTATCAGTCCACCCCTATTATTAACTTAAAACATCAAATCACATTCTCTCCGTGGAAGAATTCCCTTCCATTTGTTCCAAGGACTGAAATATGAAGAACAGGTGTTTGGATTTAATTCCAAATGAGAAATGCAGCTTTTTGGCATGGAAACGCTTTAGCAAATGGAAAAGCCTGAAAGCTGGACGTTTCTCAGTCCGTTCCTGTGTTTACTGGAAGCAACATGACACTCGCAGGTTGCACTAGTGTTAAAAACTAGCTCCAAAACGGAGAGGACAGTGATTAAATTAACTTAGGCTGAGCACGGGTCAGGTCAGCACATGCACACACATGGGTGAGATCCTGGAAAGCCCTCCGTATAATAATAGCACTGTTGATACATAGAGAAAGCGTTTCTTTGCTTCAAATTAATTCTTTTCAAGGGGAAAAGAATTAGATCAGTACTAAATACTTTACAGTGCCAAATGCTAGCAGATTTAGGGGCTGATGCTGTGTTCTCCCAGCTCGCAGGGGATAAAGGCTTGACCTCCTTGCTCACGCTCCCTGTGCCGGCCAGAGCTCTTGCCAGCCCCGCTGCACGGTGTTGTGGTGGCAGGTCCTCCGTGTCAGCCAAGGCAACAGATCCAACACGATTAGAAGGGCACGTCACACATTGCTGCTTAAAATCATTAGGATTGCTGGCGTATTACATCTTAATATTGAGTGGCACGGTTCCCACCTCATTGTAACACACACACGCAGAGGCAGGAAAGGCAAGAAAAGTGCGAAGAGCAGAACAATAGTCTCTTTACCTTCTTGAACTTCATTAGATTTGTTGTTATGTTATTCTGTATTTTATTATTTTTTAACTTACCAATGATGTTCAAGAAGCTAAATCAAATATATTCTTCAGAGAGTGAAAATACAACGATAAGGAACAATAATTAAAAGAAGAAATTACGAGTGTGGGTGAAACAATGTAGACTGCAATGGAAGCCAGGCTCCCTTCCCAGGTTCGCCACTCACCTGCTGTGCAATTAAAGGCAAACCTATTAAAGCCAAAGCTTTCACCACTCTGAACACTTGGCCTGCTCTTTGTTCATTGTCTTTTTAAATTATATGTTTTCTGGCAGCCCAGAAAATACATTTGTATATCCTCATATACTGCCACACACACACACATATATATATATATGTATGTATGTAAAAGTGCACATGACACATGGCCTGATACGGTTTTTGGAGGTTCTTCAGGTTATGGATACAAATATTTTTCCCCTTAGAAATATGTACCTTATCTTTCAGAGATGGTGCAGTATCTATCACAAAATTACAAACAGTTCTTCCTGCCTTTTATTTATCTTCCCCATCTGCTGCTCCTATTTCAGGCCTTAAGAAGAGCTTGAATTTCTGAAATCCTCTTTCACTTTTCCAGGTATGCTGACATATCTAACAAAATGTGCTAGAGTTATTTACAAACCTGATTTCAGTTATGTCCTTAAATTATCACTATAGTTAAACACCATTTTCCATGAAACTGGAATCAAGAATGATGTATACGTGACAGCCCAGATACACTGGACCTCATTTGGATCTAGTGGTTTTAAAAACAAATATGCTGCATATCAGATCAGATGGTTCCTTGTCTATATATTCATCCACAGCCACTCACCTTTCCACCTTCATCAAATTTGCCCACGTGATAAAACCATTCTCGGGAACAGAACCAGGTTGGCATGATCACAGTAGGGCCATGGGAAGTAAATGCCTACGAAAAAAGTGAGAAAAAAAAAGCTAATTAACTGTTGGGAAACAAAGCAGATCTTACATATACACCTAAAATCTGCAAATAATTACTTGTATTTAACTTTCAGCGTGGAAAAGCTCCACTGAAATATTCATTTACTTAAAAAATAATGTGTGCTTAAAATGAACTGTATAGCAGTATCTCAAGAGGCACCACAGCCACACAGATCAGTCTAGGTATTTCCTGCCTCACATCCACAAATTACAAACAAACATGGAGTATTTGGGTCTATATTCCAAATTTTGAGAAATAAACTGGAAATTACAGTTCTACTAAAATGCCAGCGCTGACAATGAAGAGAATAGTCCCTACTACTTAATAACTTTGATTTAACACATTAATGGCTTGTCCCTAACAGCGATACGCTGGCTGCTGAGTCAAAAACTCTCCCCCCAGAATCAGTGGAAGTCAAAATAATCAAAAGCAATCACAGAAAATCCATGCTCTCCAGCCTGTTTCAGATAAGATACTAAGTCACACAAGCTCGCTGATGGAGAGGTGCAGGAGCTGCTGTGCAACATTTCAGATCTTATCCTTCAAAAACGTCCTCGAACCTGGAAGGCTGCATCAGCTGAGGGTCCAATAAAGGGTAAAAGAAAGCCTTTCTCTCTGCAAGTGCTTGAGCAACTTCCAGCCTGATGTCTAAATAGGCTTAAGCAGCTCTAAATCTGGTATGCTGCTGCAAAGGGCAAACATCCTCCCTTGTCCCTCACAAGGGGAGGATGAAAACAGTGGCACTGGAGCTGCAAGGCCAGCTTATACAAATATATATATATATATATTTTTTTCCCCTAGCTTGGTTTTCAGGTGCTCTCCTCCCCGATCCCGCAGCCACATGGACACCACTGTGAGGACCAGCAGGCAGGTGGCTCGGGGAGGACATGAGCACGGAGGAGCAGGGAGGACACCAGGCCCCCAAGCACAGAGAGCAGGGCCAGGCCCTTCCCTCCAGCATCCACACAGGGAAAGCACAAATAACCCTCAAACTGACGGCAGAACCTGTATGCTCAAGGGCCGCCTTTAGAGCATGCCGGGATCTCCCACCACCTTCCTTGCCTCTGCGCCCAGGCTCTTCCAGCAGCATTGGCACTCGCCCGACCCCATGGGCACCATGTTCAGAGCACCAAACCGGCAGGAAAACTACTCTTTTTTTAGCTATTTTTGCATAGCTTTCGTCCTCTGCAGCAGTTCACTGTGGGGTCAGACTAGTACTACTGCTGACATACGGAAGGGGGAAGGAAAATGTTCCGGAGAAGAAAACAAGACCTCCCTTCTCGGTCACGGCCTGCAGTTAATCAACGCGGGCCTAACACAGAACTGCAGCCTCTGCCTGTGAACGCTTGCAGCAAGGGAGGAGAGCTGGCTCCCAAAAACCATTAAACTCCTAACAATTATATCAAAATGCTGCAGCATCTGCCAAGACTTTGAAAGCTATTTCGGCTTCAGGAGGAGGAAAACAACCACAGCTTTCTGTGTTTGGGAAATTCTAGATGTCAGCAGAGTCGGGTGGGAAGGTCCCCTCTGAATTTCTTTTTTTTGGTCTCCTCTGTTGTCACACACGCTAGCCAAAATATTAAAAAATGGTGGAAGGGATTAGAAAACACTGATAAAAAGCTTTTGCTTTGCAATCTTCTCACTGGAGTTTTTATATACAAAGATTTTAGGCTGTGTGGGTCAGAACAAGATGAACGGACAAGACATGCATGCCTGAAACATGTGAAAATGAAGACAAAATACCACTGATGCTGCAGGTCTATAACTGCTAGGTTACGTTTTCTTGCAAACAACGACCCCTCACTCTGTCCACCAAAGGTTTTTACTGCCTCAGAAGCTTCTTTGGTCTCCAGCCCTCTTCTTTCATTAATTACTAGTGAATCCTCTACACCTGTAGGAGATCTGCTGAGGGACTTAATTCATTATACTGGAAAGCAATATGGAATTCTTCTTGCATAGCTGTCTTGGAAGATTAATCCTCAACTCTAGTTAAATCTGCTGTTAGTTACAGTACGCTATAAGCTATAAGGATTATCTAAATATAGTCCAGTCAAATGAAAACAGCTTGTCAAAAAAAAACCAACAACAACAACAAAAAACCCTCATAGATGATGGTATAAATCTGTCCTGATTTAGAATTCCTAAAGAGCACAACATTTTATCATAATTATATCGGGATCCATCTTCATCAGCTTCCAGGTAAAGCAGGCTGCTATTTCAGCAACATATTTGTTAAATTATTTATAGATTGTTGTCATCTGGTTTTGTTCCAAGGCTCCAAGTAATTGCAACTGATTTACTCTAGTTGATCTTGCTAGCTGCTTGGCTATCAAATTACATTCAAGTTTTATAGAGAATCCCAGGGCAAGCAATATAAGGAACATAAGGAGCTGAAAAAGCAATTTGCATTTGTTGTGTCTCAAAGCTGTCAGCAAGTCCATGTGATTCTGGTCCCCAGTGGTGTCCGCTGCAGATACGTCAGCGTCCTACAAGACACCCAAGTTCCAGGGTACCGGCAGCATCTGTGTGTTCAGGGACTGACTCGTGTCAGGCTCATGCAAAGCTCCAGGTCAAATCAAAATCCAACAGTGATGAGCCAAAGGGATATGTGGAGATGGGGAGATAACCTCAGCCTGTTTTGCCATGCAAAACGCACCCAGGAAAGAGCTTTAACCAAGGGCACAGATTGCTTTCCAGTGTAACAGGCTAATTCCCCAACATACATTATCTGGAGTATTCATGATAAACTCTGTGCACACAGGTCACAAACGTCACACATCAGCTCTATCCAGATCGTGACCAAAGGTGAACAGCCCTGATCTAGACAAAATGATGTGTTGAGGCTAGTGCATTAACGTAGCAGCCAAGGCACCACGATTTCCTTACTGGGGAGTAGGTTTTATGCAAGGATTCAGGGGTGTGCAGGCATGTGATAGTAGAGACATGGAGGCAGAGAACAAGGCAATCCCTCCCCTACTTCAAAAAAATCATTGGGCAAATAAAATTTTTCAAAACACGATTTACAACAAACTTTATAAAGCTTTAAGGAACCTAAACGCTCAATCTGGTATGGATTACACTGAGTTAGTTTACATTACATTGAACTGCTTCACCCTCTCCTATGTCTATTTAAATAATTGCCTAATCATTGCATGCTTTAATACGAGCTGAAAATCCCTAATTAAGCCAAGATCTGGCACAATAAAAAGTACACTTCAGAGCTAAAACTGGCCAGGGCCTTCAGTACTGAAAGCTGGGACATAAACAGTAATTCTGATATGGGCTTGACTGAAAATCAGCATTACTCATCCTTCACAATCCCAAACTATATTCAGCAACAAAATTAATTAAAAAATGAATAATAATTCAGGCATCCTGGGAATCGCTAAAACCTGCACCTCTGAGAAAGTATTTCAGTTCTTCTGTTGTAAAAATAACCAGAGCTCCCAGTAACTTTCTCAGGACTGAAGCCTCAATGAAAGCTGCAGTGTTTCACCGCATGCAAAGGGCACAGAACTAATGCGAGCAGCTGCAAGATGTTGCTGTATCTGTTTCTCTATCTACTATTTCTGCCACTAAATAAAATGATTGTTTGAAGGGGCCTACGCTGGATGGTTTCTGCAACAGCCACCTAGGTTGTACACACAGTTCCCATCTCATAATGTCGCTGGAGAGTCTTCCACTGCAGAGATTTTTTTCTTAGACACCAAGGCAGGTGCCAGCATTTTGAAACATGTTCAATATTCAGATGCATTCTGAATGTGTCTCTGCTTTGTGTTAGCCAGCTCACGCCAGCCCCACTGTGCCCGATCATTGAGAGCCGACCGTGCCACGGAGTCCCTCTCTCTTAGCTGAATGCTCCCACTAAAACCCAATGGCAAACGCCATTCTACCAGCCCTTTTCAGGCTTTTTATCATCTAATGATGACAAATTAACTGACTGCTAAAATCAAAATAATCGATGCGTGCTCAGAGAACAGCCTGTATGATTTTGGCATGACTTACATCGTCCTTCTTGCCTGTAAAGCTGCTGGAAGCGGTGTTGTAACATCCATACCTTAACAAGTCTCTAATTCCTGGAGAGTTTCCAGTATTTAAAGAGTCAGGTATTTACAATGGAAGAATTACTCCATCAAGTAAGCCCGAGTGTTCCGTACCAAGAGGCTGTCTTGGCTTCTAAAAGGCTTGCTTTTTATGCTGACTTAGGCTGAAAGATGATAATCTGCTTAAAATCATATTAGAAAATAGTAAATTATGTTTAGAACAAACTGGAAATCTGTAAATATCCTAAAAATGACAAATGCTCATGTAATAAATCTTAAAGACAGCTTTTTCCACATGATTCTTTCTCTTATAGACACGAAAATGCCATTAAGTATTTTTGCAAAACAGTCCCAAAATTACAAAATATATAACTGAAATCTAATAACTGAAAAGTTATTACAGCAGAGTTTATATTTATGCAGAAATTTCCACCTCAAATATTCATGAAAAACAAAAGAGGGTGTAAAGCATCCCACCTGGAATGACAGACATCCCAATTTGGGGGCTAACCAGGACACTGCTAACCTCACAAAAAGTTATAAACTCTTTAGTGCTCCAAAGACCACACAGAATCACAGAATCACTAAGGTCGGAAGGGACCCCTAGGGATCCCCCAGCCCAGCCCCTGCTCCAGCAGGGACACCCAGAGCTCGGGGCACCTGGGCGCATCCAGGCGGGTTGGGGAGATCTGCAGAGCAGGAGCCTCCCCAGCCTCCCTGGGCAGCCTGGGCCAGGGCTCGGGCACCCTCACACCAAACAAGTTCTTCCTCATATGGAGACGGAACTGCCTGGGTTTCAACCTGTATCCATTACCCCTTGTCCTGTCACTGGCCACCACCGAGTCTGGCCTCATCCTCTTTACATCCTCCCCTCAGGTATATGTACATGTTAATAAGATGCCCTCTCAATCTTCTCTCTTCTCA